ATGAGCCCTGAGTCAGGGCTTTAAGCTCTCATTGCTGGGGCCGCAGGGCTGCGCTCTGCTCCTCACCCTGGGTCTTCAGCCAGCGCTGTGCCCCACCGTTACCAGGGCCACACCGCTGCTGCTCTGCACCCCACCCCCTGGGTCCTGACAGGGGGCTTTAACAGGCCATCTCTGAGAACAGGTGCTGCTGCTCTGTGACGCCCCCTGGGGCCAGAATTGGAACTTTGACCCAGTATATCTCTGGGCTCTACTGCTATAGGACCGTGCCCTCCTGGGCCTCAGCCACTGCTGCAATCCCCCTCCCCAAATGTATTAACTCTGTGTCTTATGCCTACAGTACAACTGTATGCATGGTTTACCTGCTTGCTTTTTCTATTTATTGATAGAAGAAAGGAAAAGAAATGTGCACTTAATACTGTCTTGTATAATTACTTAATTGTCTTCACCCGTGCTCTGGTTTATCCTGGTGAGTAGAACTGCCGTCTGTGTTTACTTTCTTGAGCACGAAGATCTTCCTTCAGTTTTTCCTGTAAGGCAGATTTCCCACCAATGAATGGTATTTTGGTGGAGTGTGGGACAGAGGAATATCTGTATTTTGCTCTCTTTTTTGAAAGCAGTTTTGCTTGATATAGAATTTTTGGTTGATAGGTTTGTAGCACTTTGACTATGTCATCCCAGTCATAGAGCTTCCATTGTTTCTGATGTTTTAAAAGCAGTATCTTATTAGAGTTTGATTGTATGGATGAATATTCTCTTAGTGCTTCGAGATTTTCTGTCTTTAGTGTTTGAGATTTCACTAGTGTCTGTGTGTGCCTGTGCTCTTTGTCTCTTACTTGGAATTGATTGAACGATTGGGATGTGTAGATCAATTTATTTCCCCGTATTTGGGTTGTTTTCAGGAAGTTTTTAAATAATATTTTCTTTGTTCCTCTTTCTTTTGGCACTCTCATTTTGTGTATGTTGGTGTTCTTAATTTTGTGCCAGCATCTCTAAGCCTCTCCAATTGTTTCATCCTTTTTTCTCTCTCTTACTTGGATTATATTATTTTTTGATCTATTTTCAAGTTTGCAGGTTTTTCATCAGCTCCTACAAATCGCCTGTTGACCGCCTCTAGTGAATTTTTCATTTCAGATACTGTAATTTTCAACTCCACAATTTCCATTTGTTAGTTTTGTTAAATACAGTTTCTGTTTATAGATGCTCTTAGATGGGATGTTGTTATTATACCTTTCTTCATTAAGCGTGGTTTCCTGATGGTAGGTTGTATGCTTCCAGGGATTTGTCCATTTTTTCTGATTTGTTCAATTTGTTAGGATATCATGACTCACAATAGACTCTTATGATCTAAATTTTTTAATTTAATTTCTCATTTTATTTATTTGTTTGAAGGTTTTGTCTTCTTGGTAACGTCCTTTGAGTCACTGAACCCACTTACAATAGATAACTTGAAATTTTTCCCTTACAGCCAACCATTTGTTCCTCCCACAGGCAGTTTCTATGGCCTGCTATTTTTCTCATGTAGGTCACATTTTCCTATTTCTTTTTATGTCTTGTGAAATTTTTCTTAAAGACAGTAACATTTAGATAATCGAGTGTAGCCACCCTGGATGCTGGTTCTCTCCAGTACTATGTATTGTTAGTGTAGTTTGTTTAGCGACTAAATGAGCTTTTTTAGTGGAGTTTGTTCCCCCTACAGTGTAAAGCCTCTGATGTGTCTACTTGGAAGGGGTTGCCGCAGGCATCTTCCCATTTCCTGGGCTGCCAGTGGTTTTAGTAGGGCACTCCTTTTGAGTCTTTTCTTACTGTTAGCTATCACCAATTGTTGGATGATTGGGCTAACATTGATGATAATATCTTGGAAGCATAAATTGCTCCAGAGTCTGAGCCTAAAAGCTCAGGCTCTTTTGCAGAAATAGTTTTTAAAGACTTTGCATTCTTTTTCATTGAAGTATAGTCAGTTTACAATGTTGTGTCAATTTCTGGTGTACAGCACAATGTTTCAGTCATACATATGCATACATATATTCGTGTTCATATTCTTTTTCATTAGAGGTTACTACAAGATATTGAATAGAGTTCCCTGTGCTGTACAGTAGAAACTTGTTGTTAATCTATTTTATATGTAGTAGTTAGTATCGGCAAATCTCAAACTCTTAGTTTATCCCTTCCCACTTCCTTCCCCTGTTGGCAACCATAAGTTTGTTCTCTATGTCTGTGAGTTTATTTATCTTTTGTAAATAAGTTGATTTGTGTCTTTTTTATTTTTTTAAGATTCCACATCTAAGTGATATCATATGGTACTTTTCTTTCTCTCTGACTTACTGAGATTGACGATCTCCACGTCCACCCATGTTGCTGCAAATGGCATTATTTTCTTTTTTATGCTGAGTAGTATTCATGTAATTCACACACACACACACACACACATATATATATATGTATAAAATTTTCTTTATCCATTCATTTGTGAATCAACATTTAGGTTGTTTGCATGTCTTGGCTATTGTAAATATTGCTGCTATGAACACTGGGGTGTGTGTATCTTGTTCAATTAAGATTCCTTCTGGATAGAGTCTCAGGAGTGGGATTGCCGAATCATATGGTATGTCTATTTTTCGTCTTTTGAGGAATCTCCATACTATTTTCTATAATGGTGGTACCAAACTACATTCCCACCAACAGTGTAGGAGAGTTCCCTTTTATCCACAGCCTCTCCAGCATTCATTGTTTGTGGACTTTTGACTGATGGCCATTCTGACTGATGTGAGGTGATACCTCATCGTAGTCTTGATTTGCATTTCTCCAATAATTAGCAATATTGCGCATGTTTTTCCTGTTCCATAGTGGCCGTTTGTATGTCTTCATTGAAGAATTGCTTGTTTAGGTCTTCCGCCCCTTTTGGACTGGGTTGTGTTTTTTTCTTTTTTTGTGTGTGTGTATCTTGTTTTTGAATTTTAAATTAAAAATTGTTTTAATTTTGGTAAAATACATGTAATATAAAATTTACCATCTAAACCATTTTTAAGTGTACAGTTCAGGGGCGTTAGGCACATTCACACTGTTGTGCAACCATCATCACTGTCCATCTGCAGAAATTTTTGCATCTTGCAAAACTGAAACTCTATACCTATTAAACATCCTTCCTTCCACTAGGCCCTGGCCACCACCATTCTACTTGTCTGTATGAATCTGATTGTTGTAGGGAATTCATATAAGTCCAATCATATAGTATTTGTCCTTTTGTGACTGGCTAATTTCATTTAGCACAGAGTCTTCAAGTTGCTCCATGCTGTAGCATATGTCAGAATTTATTCCCTTATTAAATCTAAATATTCCATTATATGTATGTAACATTTTCTTCATGTTTGTTTTTTTATCTTATTAAGTTGTATGAGCTGTTTATATATTCTAGAAATTAAGCCCTTGTGCCTCTCATCTTTTGCAAATATTTTCTCCCATTCTGTAAGTTGTCTTTTTGTTTT